TAAAAGAGAAAAATCGTGATCAAGGCGTAATTCACTTGAGGGGAAGATTAGTGTATATACGCAATTTTTCGGATCCCTTCACTGAACAAACTTGAAAATCACCTCGCACTTCTAAGAAACCATGAAAGCACTCAAAACGCGAACCTTTTTCTTATGCTTGACCGCCATCAGCGCTTCGTGCGACGGCAACTCCGTCACTGATGGCATTCGACGACGTTTCGCATAAATCTGAGGAGGAGACTTGGACAGGACTGGTGGTGAATGAATAAACGAATGCGTCTCAACCGTGTCTTCCTTTTTGCTGGTGCCTGTGGAACAGCAGAAAAGGTGATCAATTCCATAAAATTCAGGGAATGTTTCGAGAGAAAACGCACTAGTCTCCTGGCTTCCCGGGGGATGGGCCACACGAAACTGACAATGATGCTCAATTGCCTCAATCACCGTCAAAAGGGCATCCAGCGACAACACGTGAGTCGTGTACATTCCACTCATCGGGAAAGCGTTCTATGTTCAACAAGAAAACTGCACGTGACACCGGACTGGCATAAAATTTCAACTGTAATAGAGCGTTTTCCTAAATTTCAAGTAACAAACCTTTGACAACATTTTTGTCAGATCCTCGAACGAATTCGTGCAGAATACATCGCAGTCAAAGTTCAAGTAGAGTTCGGTAACGAGACCAGGAATGCGCCACATCCGCACAATAACATCTGCAAAAATGTCGTGACACACACGAGTCAGGTGCTGAGTAACAACTAAGACAATTCCACTTCATACCAAGCGCAAGCTCACGAAGCTCATAAGGTATCTTTTGCGACTCCGTGGATACAACGTCCATCAATTTGACTAAAAACATCTCCAACTGAAGCTTCAAATGGGTTCTCAGTGCTTCGAAAAGGAGGAAAAACTCGGATCACTGCGGCAAACATAGACACTCGATCCTTGCTGAGGAGCTGAGGACAAAGAGAAAATTAGCGTGAAAATTTGTGAAAAGATGGAACAAATTAGAAAAATTACCGCTACGATATGACGAGACAAATCATTCTTGACAATGGACAACAAAGACGGAAATGTCTCGATCGACTCGGACCCAATTTCCAAAGCAACAGCGATCATATTCAGTCCAGTGTGAATCATTACATCAGTTTGTGTTTTGTCCACCGGGTTGATGAGAGCCGAAAGAAAGCTCAGAAGCTCACGAACACTCGGTAAACCATAGGGTACCAGAAGTGTTTCGTCGGCTGCAAACGCACGAGTACAAGACAATTCCGGTTAATGCCCAATATAAAAAAATAACCACAGTTTGCCAACCATTGGTTTCTCCGTCGGAAGTAAATTTCACGCCTTGCTGATTTATAAACGTTTCCATAGAGCCAGGCGATTCCGTCGTCGGGGTTTCGGCCAGAACTGACAAAGCCGCACTTTCTGGGAATTCTGCGATGGTTTCCACTCGTGGAGATTCAGACATTCGTATTACGTCTCCAGATACTGGCTGAGGAGTTGTTGACAGATGCTGAACTGCATTGGGTGCATTTAGCACGGTAGGAGTGGTAGGATTGACATCATCAGACTTGAAAACTGCCTCACCGCCATTCGGCGTAGTCAGAGTGAGGTCGGGTTTCCCTGCAGGCTTCGACACAGTTTTATCTTCGTTCGCCAAAAAGCCTTTTCTCTTTTTTCGTCTACCAGTGTCGATTGAGCCAGTCTTCATCTTCAGGGCCTGTGACCGTCACGAAAAAATCAGGAGTACTCGTGAAAAACAAGCACTCAAACGAAGGAAAAAACACACAGCTAAAATAACGCGTGACACAATGATTCACTGGTTAAAGTACACAACCTCTCATGATAATTCGGTCGTTTTCTCAGATACGAGTTATTTTGGAATTTACTTCGAAACCCTCAGGCGCCTCGTATGCTTAGGATAAAACTCCGGTGCTTCCCAAAAACTTTCAATTCAAATTTTACAGACAATTTTTGAAACTCATTTCCGCGTGATCATTCATGAGATGATACATTACGAATGAATATTTTAACAAGAGCTTACTGAAATGCAATCCATGAATTTCCGAAACACGCTTCAAAAAAGTAACAATGTTTCAGAGCGATTAGTGGGACAATCCGTCATGTTCACTTTCCTCCGATGACCAGAACGTTATATGTCATATCATAGATTTGCTCACCTTGCCCCCAACACGATTATCTTCAGACATACTAGGAAGTCGCGCGAACAAGAGCTGCACAAGGTCAACTAGAGTGTGCTCTGCTGATTTCCGCAGAAGCTCTGAAAGCCTCGTTTCAAAGCATATACGAAAGCACGATTGCATGATTTCACAAACGCTTTCGTTTGTTAAAAGGCATCCAACATCTGCGAGTAGCAGCGTTCTCAACACTTGCAGAATTTTCATAAGTACGACTTCATCATTTGCAGGATCAGTGCCAACGAATCTGGCGTGCGTAACAGCGTCAGCAATATGTTGAACGGCAGCAGAAGACGATGCTTCGTTCTTTGGATTGATCATGCCATACGACAAAAATTTGTTGACTGAAGATAGCGCCAATCCCGTCACTGGCCCAGTACAGTAGTATCTTCGGAACGAATCACGTCAAGGAATGGGCCAAGAAACATGTTGGGATCCAATTCTTGTAAATTTTCTACGAAAACGAGGGATTCGCCGAGATCGTAGAAAGAATTCAGAAGTCCTTCCTGGGCAGCATCCTGTAGATCACAAATGAAACCATTCATAAACGTACAAGCAATAATTGGCGTGGCGAGCAACAAACCTGTTGAGTCTGTGATGACCACATTGGCGTCCGCCGCATTGCTGTCATTATTATTGTCATTTCCCCCTGAATTATATACACGCTGCTCGCGGGCGGCTCCATCGTAGAGGATGAAGTGCTTGACGCGAGCTAAGAGAAGCATCAATTTGTAAAATTCTTCAATTTCATTTTACTGGTAACTTCAAATATACTGTATCATAAGCACAAATGCATTATCACGAATATCATCTTCGCGTATGTTATCGGGATATACGAGGGTGGGTTCATATGTTTTGAGAACAGTCTTTCACAATCATTGGAGGCGGACGAAATTTTTTAATTTTTCCCTTCAATCCTTCATCAGTGTCTGATAATAGTTTGCCCATCCAGCAACAGATGGAAACAAGAAAAAGACCTCACAGTAACAAACTTCACTTCAGTGGAGGACATAAACTGTGAGATATTTTCCGAACACAGTCTTCACTTCATCAGCATTATTCCGCTTCGATCTAACATCCTTCTAACCTGGATTATCCTTTCCATTCACCATCAACTTTTACGGCTCAACTTCCACGTCGGCGCTTTCTGAAGAATCACCCCGCGACATTCAAAATCGACCTCACTCCCTAAGACCGCCCAACCCGCCCAGATCCAAAACCTCCAAAACACCCAAAGACCAGCTGGAGCCCACTGGGAACCTTATTGGGCGCAGCCATGTTTTACTGCGACTGCCCTCTATCCATCAAATATTGTTCTACTTTTCTGCCTCTCGAGATAGATTCTGGACTATCTAGAGAGTCCACTGTCCACCTGCTGTATTCCATTAGCAAGCCTGGAACAGTTTGGCATCAAGGATTGAATGAAAAAATTAATGATTTCTACAAAAAAATTTGCCCCACAAACATTCCTTTCCTGTAACCTTTGGATTTTGTTGTAGAGAGTAGAGTATATATACTGGCTTCCAAAAATATGCATGCATCTGAAAACTAATGATGAAGAGTGTTGTATGCTGTTGCCGCATTAAATTCCCAGTCTTGACACTTTTCCGACATTTCTGCTGGAAAAAAATGTTCATGAATTCTCATATGTTGAAGAAATTGAGATCATTTATTGAAAAATAAAGGTAATATAAAATTACCCTGATTCATAGGAAAGAAAAAAGCAAGCTAATTTATGTTCTGTTTTTCTGTTTCTCAACCTATTTTGCTCAGCAGAGAATTTGAAAAATTATCCTTCTATTCAATGTTTGGGCAGACTTTTCCAGAATTCATTATCTATAGAGAAGATCCATCAATTAAAAATATTCCCATTGAAATCTGAATAGGACAATTATAGGTATCTGATGACATGCAGGAATTCTACTACATATTACGGACAATGAAGGTCCAAGCACCAATTATACATCACATAGAGATAATCTGGAAACGGTCAAAAAATGCCATGCAAACCAAAGCATAACAATGTTGTACAGTGCTGTAAAATAACCCAGCTAATTGCTCACCTGCTGATTCAAGCACCGGCACATATCATTTGCTGTACACAGTACAGTATTATGTACAGCAAATGATATTCCGGTGTACGTCTATATACCGGTGAAAATCCTCATGAAAACTCCTCAACCTCGATTTCAGGAGGGAAGAAAAAATTATCACGCCAACTGTTTCATTCTTGGTTTTTTTCATGTTCTTCGTGGAAAGAGGCGGATTGATGTGTACCTGATTTTTTTTTATTACAGCTCTGTCGAACGCTTCGCAGTCGCTTGACTGCCATTTTCTGGGGGGGGGGGGGGGGGGGGGGGAAATGGGNTCGCAGTCGCTTGACTGCCATTTTCTGGGGGGGAGGAAAATTGCTGGTTGAAGTGCACTGAGCCGATGTGTGCAGGGAATGGTGCAATGCAGTTGATTCGTCGTTTTGTACGTCGTTTTGGAGTTTTCCTAGCTCGAGGATGACGCGACACTGCGTCAGTACGTGTTGCCACCGGCTCTATATACAATCTGAAAGCTTCGGAAACTCGACATTCAGTATCCCTCTCAAGCTCGACCGAAACCAAGTCCTGGTGTTTCGGCGGTGAGTTATCGCAGTCCAGCATAGTGCTGTAAAATAAGAGACTGTGGATTCCCATCAGTCATCCTTCCTTGTGATCATAAGTACATATAACTGCTGATGGAGTTTCTTGCATTATTCTTTTACAATTAAGGACGAGGACGACGAGAGCACTTCGTTTGATCAAGTTGTTTTCAACCGGTCCAAAATCGGAGGAGGAAACGTCGTCAGATTTCTGAAAGGACGCGTGATACTCCATATACATCAGCATATAGACAACTGCTGCTCTATACAGTGGATTTGCTAGCTGTACCTTCCAAATAGCAGGTGAGTTTGATCCATTTTTATATCTAAGACAAATAAATGAAGGTAAACCAGCAATCTCAGGGGTGATTATATCATCGAGCATCTTTTCGTACTGCGGAACCTTTTTCCTATCCATTGTATGGATGACTACGTCTGATCTACTGTCATTATAATAAATTAAGCATTCTAATAATTAGCTAATCTATTTCTGCTATAGAGTAATGCAGGAATAAAGCAAAGAGTAAAGAGTTTGTTCCGCCTATAATAATTGTAGGGTGGAGGGTTCCTGGCCCCTGGGAATATTCAGGATTTCGGGGGGCATTTCAGTTTGACCCAAGGTCACTGCTGAAATGAACCCAGCAGGTTGGGAGGGCCTAAGTTGGGAAAAATCTGGGAGCTTTTACTGCTCACTTGGGGGTTTGTTATTATGAAGTGACTTTCTTTTCAAAAAATAAAAATCAGAACTTTCTCAATCGGGTAATTGTTTCTTGTTCATTTTTTAAAGAAATACATTTTCAAAACCAGAATTCAATCTCCGAAATATATCTTCCAATTGAGGTGCGTATATGCGTCAAAAGTCAACTCCGTTTCAATCTTCCGCTGAGAAAGGGAAGTACATTTTATTCAGAACATTTACCTTACAGGTTTTCCCCCCGGAAGCAGTAAAAGCTGGACATTTTCCTCTTGCGATTCATTGGCATGGGAGGACTTTTAATTTCCGGGGTGATGAGAATCCCCTTTCTCTTTTTGCTGTTGCTGATTTTGGGAAGTAACGGTAAGCAGAAGAACGCCTGGTTTTTTTTTTTTTTTAAACAGGGATTATCCTGAAATCCTCATAGATTTTTTTTTTCCCTGGGCATGACTTGTAATAAACCATAGGCTCTGCCACAAGAAATGATAAAACCAGGGGCGACATCAGCCGGGCCATCAGCGATCCAAAGGATGGCCAAGCGCAGGGAATTCTTGGGGCCGAAACAAGAACACAGGAAGGGTTACCATCACTCTCGAATGGAAGGGTCCAATCTAGGTTGGAAGGTGGCGTTTTGGAGACGAACAGCAGCACCCTGGCACCTTACCTAACATTCATTAACGCAGTGTTCAAGGATTTCTCCTCACGTTCCATGCCTGGACTTCTAATTTCAAAGAGGTACGGAATATCTACAGCTTAAAAAAAAATCTGTATCTGAAAAATGTCCCAGGAAGGGATGCAATCTAAATCACTCAGGGTTTTATAAGGAGTGAATATTTATTTGTGTATTGCTGTGTTCGGCACATTTCTCTCGATTTCCATGCATTGGAGGGCTGCTTGCACACCGAAGGCTGATATTCACTGCAGTCAAGGAGAACAGTCAAAAGTGCCATAATATTTTGCGCATGCAAAGATAAATGTGAAAAAAATGAACAATTCGAAAGTAAATTCCAATTATGCTAAAATCGAAATCCTCTTTCTGCTTTCAATTTCCACGCTTTGACTTTTTTCTTTGGAAAATCTCCAACCACTAAAATATTTTGTTGTGTCGACTGTTGATTATGTTTTTTGAATCAAGGGGTTTATTCTAAAAATTTAGAGTTTTCCCATGTTTTTAGTTAATTGGACACCTTTTTCGGATGTCCTCACAGAAAATTGACGATTCGATTTTTCAAGACAAAGGAGAATGAGGAAAAGTTAAAAAGAGAAGAAAACAAGCTCAGCGATCAGTCAACGTTTCGCCTTCCCTTATTGTTTAAAAAAAATGCTGCTCTTCGAGCTTCAATTATACTTTGATTTTAAAACTTCAGAAAACAGTAAAGATCTCTGAAATATGTTTAAAAGGCAAATTTCACAATTACCAGGTTAATCTTCCCAAATTTTGAGGTCTGCACACTTCGTAATTTGAAAAGCAAATGACAAGTTTTTCTCACAGTCGGCGATGAAAATTGAAGGTACTTTGTGGCTTCAACAGTTTTTTGTTAGGATTGATTAATTAATTGTCATTATCAAGTAACAAGTATGTGTATTTCTCAGCTCTAGAAAAGCCTGCATTTTTCCTTTCATGTTCAAGAATGGGTTAACCAAGAACAATTAGCCATCAATAACCTTTAAGGAAAACTGTTTAAAAACCTTGGAGCAGACAAAGATCATCGCAATGAGTAACAAAAGTGTAGAGACCAAGGAACAAGGGGAGTCATGGTGATCACATTCCACTGCTGCCCCCAGTATCAAATGGGTGTGTTTTTCCCAATTCTAGAAAAAAATTTCTTTTTCTGGTCAGGTTCATGAAGGGGTTAACCAAGAATAATTAGCCTTCAATGATCTCCAAGGACACCCTTAGGAGGTTCACTTACACTATATATACATTTAATACTTTTTTTCTGTAAAGACAGAGGTCATGAAATGGCATGACCCATGCATGTTTCTGTCGGTTTATGCTTTTGTGTGCATATAGTTTCCCTTCATTGAGGCACAAGCTGATTCTGGTTCTTTTGCTACAGACATGTCCTATTTACCGTGGAGGCTCTCCTAGGAAGGAAGTGGACCGGCCAAGGCATGGCATTGAAGGACATCTTTGCATTAAATGTATATCTTGCTCTAGGCACAAATGATCAGGAGCTCTTCCAAAACATTGCACCTTCGAACATCATTTATTACCCCAATTATAATTCGTCTGGAAAGGTGATTCCTGACGATGACTCGGTGAAACGGGAGGTAGCAATTGTGAAGCTGCCCTCAGAGTCAAAGAAGAGCCCTCCTCCAATTCAATGCATCCCTGGAGTTGCAGGCATTGGGACTGAGGTTACAGTCCTTGATTTGGCTGAAGATGAGAATGACGGTGAGTGCTGCAGCCGAGTGTATATATATACTCATGAAGACGCATACTCATCACTCATTGTTCACACACCTTCATCACAGGTAGAAAAACGAAGGTGTTCAAAGCACAATACCTCCGCGTGCAGTGTCCCCCAGCTTTATTCAGCAGGGATTCCACAAACTGTTTCCAGCTGTCCAACAGAAGCGCTTTTGATGTGAATGACAGGGTGAGTCATTTCTATAATTTTCAAGGTCTCCAGCTGTGTTCTGAGGAGACAACTTCAAGTGTTTCACTGTAGCTATGACTATCAATATGCAAATTGAGACCCTGAGATGCAAGGGCCTATAATTGGTACTTGGCCTTATTCCTTATGGTGGATTCTTATTGCATGTCAGACCTTGTTCTCATTCCATAGACCTGAATGCAGGTGAATTCAATTGGTTGTCATTTTTATCAAGAATTGAGAATAAGTAAAATTTGAGAATTTTCCCATCAACCTCCCAGTTACAGAAAAAAATGCGCAGGAAAGAATCCCTGCTTTGGCATCAAAAGGAGCTGAAAAAGGGAAAACAAGAACAAGTCTTGCTCTGTGCACAGAAGAAAGAATGAAAACTGAAAAAATTGAAAAAAAATCAGCATGTTTTTGATAATGAATTAGAGGAAATTTATTAAGAGATGCATTTTCAATATTTGTGAACTTAACTAGCTAAATTTATTGAATGTTGGACATAAAATTGAAGTAGCATTTTTTGCTTTCTCTGGAAAATGTCAGCAATCTGTCTGTATGTCTTTAGCCTAAATTTGTCCAGATGGTGGGTGGAATTATTTTGAGTGTCAAGTGTCCCTTAGTTGGATAGTACTTCTCTCTGGGTGTCTGCATGTCATGGCCTCACTACAGTACTACATCCACTTGCCTTGGTTCTGACATTGGAATGGATCATCTACCAAAACAAATTCGAAATTGTGTACTGTGAAAGAACTGGTAAAGAGTATTTCTCTAGGCTGCACCATTAGAAAATTACAACTGAGCTGCGGCATTCAATGTGCTCATCCATGAATTTTTTACAACAATCTTCCAAAAGAATTTCAATGGCTTCTATTTTTCTTGAAATAAGATGAAGTACTTTTTCTGGGGTTGAAGAGCATTCAATCAAAATATTGCTGACTTTACAGGGAAATCTTGCATCACCAGTCGTTCTCAATTATGGACAAGCAAATGCCACAGCTGTTGCAATCAAAGCTTACACTTTCAATGTGACTGCAACAGAAACGATGATGGCAGCTGCAAGCTTTAGTGACCCTGAGGTTTGGAGCTTTGTTTGTCAGTATGCAGAAAAATGCCTTGGTAACTTCACAACCACTACATCAGTCCCATCCACCACCACAACATCAGTCCTATCCACCAGCACTCCACTCATCCCCACGACCACTCCTGGAAACATAAAAAATACTACCAGCCAAAAAGAAATGAAAACACCTCCAGGACCTGACTCGCAATCTCCTCCTCCACAGGGAAAATGTTTTAATTTTATGCAATTCATTCGAGGCCTTCTTGCCTAATTTAAATGATTTTCAGGACACTATGCAAAAAGAAACATGGTTTCATGTGGGAGGAATGAGTCTGGGTGTTTTTTGTTTCTCTCCTGCATCAAAGATATATTGCATTACTATATACAGTATTCAGAAAATACTTTGAATGGTTTGGCTGGGCGCACATTTTGGCACATGTTTCATTTCAATCAATACTTGAATTGTGAGGTATATTTCACTGTGATTGCATACAAGAGTGTGGATAAATAAAGGCACAAGCGTGAAAAAAAAATTCTGCGTTATCTCATGATTTCATGTGGGTTTCTGTCAAACACCTCCTGGAAGAACAATGCTAAATGCAATTTTCTCATCACATTTCAATGCGATTAATTTTAGAAAATTCTGAAAAAAAACTCATACAGAAACAGGCTGAAGACTTTGTGCTTTAAATACACTTTTACTGCTGCTTTTTCTTCAATATTGGGGATGGGTGGGTGTATGCAGCATATGTGTAGGATGTCCAGTTTTTTTATTTTGTGGAGAGTGTTCTCTTCTGTTTTTGTCATTGGTTTGTGCTTTGTTTCATGATTTTAAGTGATTGAATGTCTTGTGGGGAGTTGAGTTGGGTGGGGAGGAGGTTTGGATGTGGGAGTCTTGGTTGTGCCTTGTGAACACTGAAAAGCAGCAAATATAGTTTTCTGTTCATTCATTCATTCATAATGGTAAAATAAACTAGTATAATCATGGTATAGAAATTGATTTTCAGCAAGACACGCTTAAAACAATAGTAAAATAAATTATGCATGTCTTAATTATTTATCCGATGGAGTAAGTGATGGTCAATTCAAATTAGTTTATATAAAGACGTTTAATTTTCGTTGTCAGCATGATGAGATTCATTCAATCATTTTTCAGATTGAACCTGCTGATAAGACGCATACAACTTAATCAAATGATCCCGATGGAGAATTTAAGTGACGTTTTCCGTGTTTAAAATTGAATAGCGCTGACATTCAGCTTTGTAAAATTGGAATAAAACGACATCGCAAAAAAGAATGTTTGCATTTGCTTCCAGTGAAAATTAATTGAAGTAGGGCTTGAACTTGAACTTTTTTGTTGGTAATATGAAGACGTTTATAATTTATTGATACAGTGGGCCTTACAAAATGCACGTCAGGTCAAATCCACATGAATCTGAATCAGGCGGTGTTTGTAAAATTATAATTTATTTTATGGCTATTTTATCGGCATTGCTTGAAGAAGATATTGAAATGATTTCTTTGACCAACATTTTGTTTCCTTCCTTTATCTATATTTAGTTTCTCATGTTTGACCTCCAAGCTTTGCTCGGCGGTCGACGGATTGAAATCAGTCCTGAAGAATATGTTTTGGCCGCCTCGAATTTGTACGTCGATGTTTTTACTCTTTTCGTTATGACTCTTATGCTTGTGGGTGCCGCCACTGGAGATCGTTAATCGTATCGATATTACTCACAATTCTTTTTCCTTTCGAAAGTTTATCTTGCACAATTTCTGATGATGGCCACTAATATTGGTCAGCAATTGAGAACGAAAAACATCCCACTTCATGTATGAATAAAAGTCTATCTTTGATGATTCATGTCTTCGTTTTTTGAGTTCCTGATGATTTTTTCTTTACTCGCAGAACAGTGAAAAATGGCGCTGGAGCATAATTTTACACTCTTTTTTTCTCTCCTTACTCGATTTATTTTTACAGATCAGCGCGAGGGGAAAATCAAAGCATTTGCATCATCAGCAGAGAGCATAAAATTTAAACGCGTCATTCGTGGAAATTGAGTTTTTGCAAATTTGTATGATGCCGAAAGAAAAAGAGAGGAGAAACTTCAGTATTTATTCAAAGGATTTCTAAAATCTGCGAGCATGAATTCCGTCTTTTATTCCTGCCGACAAATTTTTTAAAATCTCAGAATATAAAAAAGTCGCGTAAACTTTGAATCAATGCCCGATTTTTAAAATAATAAATGAAATGCTTGAGATCGACAATCACTGTTGGTTCCGGAGTTTATCCATATAATTATTTCCATAAATTAATACGCATGGCAGTTGCTCAATTTTAAGGCTGAATTTGATTCAAGACTGGATATTGGTCTTGATGCTATTGAACCTTGATAACTCAAACCTCCATAAGTGGTGTCGCAAATTTAACTGGTCTTTTTCACAAATTCACAGAAAATGGAACAGAAAAGCAAAGACCCTTCCTTGAAAGTACAGTACTCATTTTGCAGGATACAGCTTTAAAATCTTGCATCTTCCTTTGGAAGAAAACAATCTATCAAGCTTTGCTTGTCAAGTTGAAGTTGGCTCTCAAAAAAAGGGAGAATATAGCAAATGTATTCCTATTTTTAAATCCAAGTTTCAGCAACTGCCAAAACTTGTCCTTTTTTGTGCAAATTAGGTTTCACCCCAACTCCCACAAAAATTGGGAAAACTCTATTGTACCAATGGTCATAAAAATCCTGTAATTCAACCTAGCAAAACCTGTTATCCTAAAATCCCCTTTGTGATATTCTAATTGAATGAATTTCTTTAAGGAGCAGTGAGCCTTAAGTAATTACCTACTGCAATGTCTCACAAAAAGATTATTACCAGCCATGCAGTTCAGGTAACTGCATTCCTTAGTCTTTACCGTTGATATATTTTCTATATTACTTTGTGTGGACATAGGATTTTTGCAGAAAGGACAAGTAAAACAATAAGAATGTTTGTTGATCAGCAGGGTTTATTGCAAGCCATTATGCACAAGTTGTCAGCACATTACTGTATCTTGGATGCAAATGCTGAAGAATACTGGCTGGCACACAAGTTCTCAGGGACACACAGTGGAAGAGGACAGTGGACTGTTCAGCTCTCTGTCTAATTTCCACAAAATAAAATAAGGACAACATAGGGGCAGCAGACTGAACACCTTGCTCACCCCTAGGCATGCATGGGTGTGTGTTTCTTCTTCAAATGCATTTTTTCATCCCAGCTCGAACAGGTGATCAGAAAAAGGAAAGGGGAGAAAAAGAGGGTAGAGAGCTGCACAGACAGGGGAGCAGTGTCAGCTGCTTTCTGTAATTTACTGATGAAAAACCATTGAAACACCCAAGTGGGGAGCTATTCTTTGTGTGACCCCGCAAATGGTGAATGCTGGGGTCACAATTGGTGTACATGGGCTATTCTGGGGTTACAAGCATGCACCTCTGTAGACAAAAATTTTCTACCATTCCTATATGGGTTACATTTGGTGCACAAATGTGTCATAACAGGAGTATCACACAAATGCACCAATTGTAACCTTGATGTAACTTATTTGTTTACAAATGTGACCCTGAGTAATCCTGGTGTGAACACACAATTGGTGCGCATTAGGGATATGCATGTGCAACAGAAGAACTTTGGTATACACTTCAGGTGCACAGCAGGGTCACTGTGTAGAATTACAAACATATCCGCAGTGTGCACCAATTTCCCCACTTGGGGCGCATATACTCTGCATCTGCGGAAAATCTCTGAAAAATTCCCACATCCTTCAGAGGATGCCTTTCTGAAACCTCTTTATATACGTATGAAATCCTGCTAAAAACTTCACTTTTACCAAACAGAACTTGCAAGAAAGTGTATTTGAAGCAAATATTCCAATGCATTGGCTTAGTTGAACTCTGTTGAGAAAATACAAACAACTGCTGTATAATAGGGTGTTCACTCACCCCTGTTATTGTAGCCCAATGGATCTAGTATGTTTTATTTAACTACAACTCCTAAAAACTCTTATTCTGGACAAGGGGAGAACCTCACTAGCTATATTGAATTGTATCAAGTCCCAGTCTGAATTGTCTTTTTTTAATGCATTAAAAACCTACTTAACTCAACAGCTTTCCCTCTCAAACCTCCAATGGACTCAAATTTTCCAGAGGCCGTTTGGCTATTACTTTATTGACATAGGAAAGAGAAAAGCAATAAATATGTAGCTTTATGCATTTTGAAACAAAGAGAAAGATTAATTGGGCAAGAAAAACTTTGCTTTGAACTTCATCATCATCCTTCCAACTCATTCAAGAAGCAATGTAAGGCTCAGAATATCAACAAATACAATTCCCTGCAATTCTTCTTTCACACCCCCCAAAAAATGCTTGTTTCTCAAATTTGAAACCTCAATCTTTTTCTGCTGGTCCCTTGAAATTTGTATTAAAGAAGATTGACTGTATCAGCAATGCACATGAAAGCATAAATAAGAAGCATTTCAAAATTTAATAAATGAGATTCAATATGATTTTCCTATGCCAGCATTGAGTTCACCGGCTCAAAACTATAGGCAGACATTTATACTGAACCTGATGGTGTTTGATTCACCCTCAGCAGTCATCTTTAATCATTATGTTAAACACGTTCTACGCAATTAAAATTTCCCGAACTGCTGTATAAGCTTCATCAATGAGCTCATTATGGCCAGCCAGCTCCATGATGATCAGAAGTTTGCCAATGACTCATCAATTGCTGAGATAACTACTGCTGATGATGATGATGATGATGATGATGATAATGCCAATAGAAATTCTGCAGCAGGCATCATCAGCAGCAGGAAACCCTCTTTGCTCTCACTTCCGACGGAAATCCTGGTGCAGGTCCTCAAACACGTGCCAGCTCGAGACGTCGCCCTGTCCGTGTCCAAAGCTAGTCCCGACCTCGCTTTCGTCATACTCGGTCTGCAAATCCCCTACGAAACCCTGACCTTTCCCGACCTCTCCGACCTGTCCGTCGTGAACGTGGCCAAGATCCGGTCCATAGTGTCGCCGCATCGGTTGCGAGAGTTGCGAGTCAGAGTGCGGATTGGCGGCGGTGAGACCATCGTTTGCGAAGTCCTGTTGGCGGCGTTCCGGTGCGCCGCTTTGAGGCGGCTGTCGGTGCGAGTCGTGGGCAGCGACGGGGAGGGGTTCTCCACGTGGTTCATTCTGCACGATGACGAGACCCGGGGTATCGGGGACGCCATTGAGGACATCCTGAGGCTGAATACCCTGGAGGAGTTGGTGGTGGAAGGGGTGCCGAGGTTTGAGGCCCTGGCGACCCATGCGATCCCGAGTAGCAGCAGCAGTGCTGATCATGACGAAGGGCGTGATAATGAGAGTCTTGTGTGCTCTGGCTTGACCAGTGTGAGCTGCTTCTGATTTGAGTCTTCTTGTGATGAAAAATGTTAAATGAATACCTGTGCATTGAATGCTTCTCCAATAGATGCCAGTCTCTGCTGATGAATGCTGGATGGCAATCCTGGGGGTTCAAGGGAATAGCGGTCAAAGAAAGGGGGGGGGGGTGTAAAAAAAAAATCTGTATCCTATAATAGTCTTTTCAACAATCAAATTTTGGTACTTTCCTGTTATCTCTGTACCTACTTTCCTGTAATATCTGTACCTACTTTCCTGTAATCTCTGTACCTACTTTCCTGTAATATCTGTACCTACTTTCCTGTAATCTCTGTACCTACTTTCCTGTAATCTCTGTACCTTCCCTCTGACCAATTTAACCTGACCTAACCTAACTTCACCTAACCACCTCCCAAAATCAGTTTCTGTACTGATTTTGGGAGGCGGTTAGGTAAAGATAGGTTAGGTCAGGTTATGTTGATTAAAAGATATTTGTAACTAACATAACGTGACCTAACCTAACTTTACCTAACCGCCTCCCAAAATCAGTTTCAGCAGAATGTGGAAAACTAAAATTCACAGTTTCTGGTAGGTTGTTGTGATTATGAACTTGTCATAAAGATTTGTCTGGATGGTAGTGCAGTTTAGGAATCAGGTACAGATATAACAGGAAAGTACCAAAATTTTAAACACTTGACAAAGAAATAATTTCTCTTGAGCGTTTTCTGAGCATTCCTGTCTAATCTCCAAAGAAAACAGCCAAAAATCCAAGTTTTTCCCTATTTCCCTCTGGTGTTCCTTCCATTCATCTTTTTATCTTAATCCACAGATGCAATTGTTGGAAATAATTGTTCGTCTCTAAATAGATGCTGGTCTCTATTACAGGCCAGAGGAATAATTGAAAATGTCATATAAATGCAGGTGACATTTATTGGAGGAAACATGGTACATTGGGATCTTGGCTTACAAATGCCTCAGCTCTCAAAATTTTCAGCTAACAAACTTTGTTTTTTGGCCTCAGCTGCCCCAGCTAACAAACCATGACTTGACTTTTTTCTAAAAAAAAACAACTTTTTGGGTCTAAAAATTTTTTTCTAGCAAAGTTCGGGAATTAAGTTCCAACTTCTTCATTAATTTATGAAAGAATTTCTCAACAATTATGTGATGGATTTTTTACCAAGAATTTTTCATTTTTTTCTATTTATTGGGTTAAAATTTGAAGCACTTTGTATTATCAAAGATTATGCATATGCTGTAGATTGTGTAGAATGTCGAAAATGTGTCCAACTATGGTGTCTAGCATTAAAAGATTTTCTTTTATCAAACTTATTGCACCTGAATTTAATTTGGCTCCATAGTGAACCACTGAAGTGAAAACTGAAACAGATTAAACAATGCATAATGCTGGGATTTGTTCTTGTAATTCAAATTGAAGTTTAAGCCAAATTTTTACAGATTTGCCAAAGAAAGACCCGCCACACTTCACAAAATATTTGGCCATACCATTGTAAAAGGTTAGCAGCTGTATTTTTTATGCATTTTTGGGATAGCAGATTTTTAAAAAATTCTGTGTTGAATAACATCCTTTTCTTTGTCCCCATTAAATATTAATATTGTGTATGATTTTTGTATTTTTTTCAATTTTTTATAGCAATAATATAAATTTTCAAAATTTTCCAAATTTTTAATAATAAAAAAACGTTTGTTGCGTGAAATTTGCTCATTCTGCGGGGGTTAAAATGGCGGTTTTTTGCTCAAAAAACGTTCGTTATGCGGAACGTTTGCTCTTCAGGGGTTCGTAGTGTGGGGTACCACTGATATTTAAATTGTTATTGATTTTATACTTGTGAATCTCCGAATACTCTAGAATAACAGTCAGAAGGCATGCCAAAAATTAATTTGCTGTGTATAGAGGTTTGATTAGAGAAAGTATTCAAAGTAAGGGCGGTCTATATGCAATCTTTCTTCAAGAATATCAAGACAAATTTCCACAAAAAAAAATTGAAAGCTCAGAGGTTTTTGTACTGTGCTGTCATATAATTACCTGAAAATAAGACGCATCCTCCTTTTTTTTTGCTTTTTCTTTGAAAAGAAAACCCTCTTATTATTTACTTAAGTTTAGGTTGCTGCTGAGTTTTTAAATCAGCGAAAATTGTGATTTTATTCTTACAAAAGAAGCAAAATGTTCCAAATATGAAACACAAATTCATCTGTGGGGTGCAGCTGAGAATTTCTCATTACTAGTTATTCCGCCACAAAAATATCAAATTAAGCATCGAGCAAAATAATGCGTTTGAAGCTGATGAAAATGCAGAGTGAATTTTATTCGGCTTTTTTACAGTTGTACTGCAATGCTGGAGGCTACGTTTCGTTTCTGCTTCGTAGAACAGCAGCCAAGTTTTTCCACACCTTTCCAAACTTGACAACGTTGGTCATCAGTCCTCCGCCATTTTTCCCGACAACCTGGGCTCGACTCACGTCAGAAGCAGAAAAGGGATTCCAGAATTTGCACAAGTTCAGTTTCATTGTGCCAAAGAACTGGAGAGCCATCTCCAGTCACCCCGATTTCTTGCCGCTACGGAATCTGCGCAGTGTCACTATAACCTGTTGGTTCGTCGTCATTCACCTTTGAATAATATATTCTCTGCAAATCATATCAGCTATAAGTTTATTTTGATATCACTCAGTCACACTGAGGTATCTCAAAATAGTACATGCCAAGAAAACTGCAAAAGTATAAATTACAATAATTATTGGGATTGCACATAATACCGCAAATAAGCAGCAATTGCTAAAATTGGACGAAGTGAAAAATGTTTTGTGGATTTATTCTTGAGCAAAGATTTGCCAGCAGGAACTTCGCAGAACCTTAAGAAAAATGTTGTAAAAAAGGGTATGTTGCTGGAATTCCCTACAAAAAAGTACTACAGTATCATCATGAATTAGCAGAAAAATCGTGCCACTTTCATTTTGAGTATCTTTTACACTATGGTATAACCAAGTACCTTGTGTATGGAATGTGCTTGTCTTGAACAAAGGTATTTATTTTCCAGAATAAAGATATATATTTTTAAAGGAACTGCAGTAAAAATATAAGCATATACTGTACATTAAAATCTTGTAGCAACAAATATCTTATTACAACAAATCTTCCAGCACAACAAAATTTTCTCAAAGTCCCAGCAGCAATCCTATTTGGTACTGTACATGCTATAAAAAATATCAATACAACAAACTGGTAAATTAATGTGTGACTAATTTTTTTGAGGAACATGTGATTTCCTACTTGAAAATCACCTATGAAGGCAGGCGCAGTCTCAAATTTCCATTCAAAATGTGACTGTGATTAGTTCTTTTGACATTATAGGGTGGAATCCATGACAAAAATTCTTCAAAATGCATCTGAATGTCCTCCCTTTCAAAATTGTTTTCCTTTGTTATGAAAGATGAGGAGAGGAGATGGAAAAATTATCCCAGCAAAACTTGTGTCAAACGGGGTTTGTATATTTGCTTGAAAATCCCTACTGATGCTTTGAAATTGTAAGCTTTTTTTTTAAGAACATCCACGTACCTTACAAATCTGTGCAAGAATTATTGCTTAGGAAAACTCAGTCAACAAAAAATTATAGAGTTTACCTGTTATTCAGAGTAAATATTTGTTTTTCACATTTGAATTTATGTTTGAAGATCAAAGTTTTTCAAACGCAGAAAAGTATTTGAAAAGGCCACAAATGGAAGATGTATATATAATATTTAGGTTTAATTTTTTTTCATCTTCAATCAATCAAAAAGTTTGAAAAACTGGTTATAACAAATTATTTCTCATCATACAAATTCTTCTGAAGTCCCCACAAGTTTGTTGTAATGAGGTTCCACTGTATTCATTTTAGTAAATAATCTGAAATGGAGTATATATACAAGGTTGAGGACTTCTGAACAGAGATTTCTTGCAGGCATATATATGTATATACTGTATATGACTTCATGGGCAAAATGAGTCACCTTAAAAAACTATGAAAGTATGATTGTTCTTCAGTTGTACTTTGCGGACCATACGCTTATGTTTTCCCATTTCGATTGCTCCTTTTTTGCATGAATAAAAAAAATATATACTGTATGTACAAGGACAAGGATGAAAGGCGAGGACCTCATCCAGTTCCTGCCCACCGTTGTCAAGTCGGATCTTCGGGAACTCGAGCTCGACGGACACATGGGCTTCGACGACGACGTCTTGTCCCTCGTCTCCACCCTGTACCCAAACCTCGAGTACCTCAAAGTACTCAACTGCTTCAGCATCTCAGACACGGCCCTCCTCGCCTTCGTTGCCAAGTGCCGCCGCCTGAGGGCTCTGTGTTTCACGAACCCCCCGGACTTTGTCCGCCGCGTGCACATGGGCGCGGACATGCCAGTTTTGCGCCTCTCCTCTGCGTCCAGCTCCGCTGAGTTCTTTGACCAACTCCGCGCAATCGCATCATCTTCATCAGGCAACAACAACAGCACGACGACGACGACGACGACGACGAGAAGCAGGGAACTCGAGTTTCTGCGGCTGCACGGCGTCGACATTCCGCGGGATTTCAACTCGAGGCAGGAATTTTGGCAGGGCAAGATGGACGGATTTGCAAAGGCCCGAGAGCCGAGCATGTCTCGAGTAGATTTGCATCAACAGCAGTCGTCGTAGACTTCGCCTCTTGCTTTGTCAGCTGTATATCTGAAAAATATACACGACGGTTGGTTCATTAGTTTTGAGACTTTCTGAAATTGATTCCCACGAAGTTTCAACAGTTCGAAAAAAATTCTTTTTTTTTTTACTCGCATAGCCCCATCATTTGGCAACTTTTCAGTGCTTTTGAACATGCACTCTTTCCAAAGCATTTTTTCATGTAGCAATGAAAATAATGTAAGGGACAGATGTCGCCTCCCCTTAATTAAGAGAATGATTATCATGTAAGTTACAGCAAAAACCCTCCAATGGGGAATTTCCCACATTGCACAGCAATTGTTCTGAAATCTGACCTCCTCCATTTTCTGAGACACTAAATCACACTCTCAGGCTACCAGCTGGAGTTCCATTCAGTCTTTGTTTATATGTTCTGGATTGTCTTGTTAAATTGAATCCTTTTTTGTGTCAATAAAATTATTTCCTTTTTCTTGGGATTCTACCAAGAATACCTTGGCATGTTCCCTTGCAGATTGTGTGTTTCATTACTTGAAATATCATTTAGTAAAACCCTAATTTATCATTTTTGTGGCCTGTGCGCCACAAATGCCAAAGATGCAGTTCTGTTAGTTTATTGATTAGGCACCCTGTGAATTATTCTGGCTGTTCCTTACAGTGAAGAGCAACCTGAATGGGATTGATTTTTCAAACAGGGACGGTCTCATTTCTGCCATCATCAAAAAGCTGCTTTATCAACTAACAGAACTCAATTTTATTTTGGCACTGTTTTGATTGTTGGATTTATTGCTTGAAAAAATGCATTGAAATTGGTGGAGAGTATGTTGAACAGCATTGAAGTGCTGCCAATAATTGTTATTGAGGCTATGCAAGTGAGAAAAAGAATTTGGAATTGTTGAAATTCTGTTGGATCTATTTCAAAAAGTCTCAAAACGTATGAACCAACCCTGGTATCATTATCACAGAGGGCTCTGGATCCCTTTCTTTTGTGCCGGGTGTTCCCGAAGTAATAAATAATAGGAATACTGAAGGTCGTATCGAAGCGGAAACTGGGCCAAATATTCCTTTATTTTCTGTTCACTCGAGGTTCAGCACGCACAAAGGAATCTCAGACAAAAAAAAAAGTCTCATTATACAGTATACATGTTCTTCTTGACTTGGTTTCTTTTTTTTTTGTAATTCTTTGGCAATGGGCCAAAGAAATGAGCACTGGATCAAATCAAGAGCAGGTGTTCACTGCTGCTGCTGTTCAGGCACGTCCTCCTTATTCAGTTGATTTTCTTTTTGATTTCGTGTTGCGCTCATTATTCTGCCGGTTCGCCAGCCATCATTTTCTTCAGGAAGGCTGCAAAATCGTGGAATGCGGAATATATAGATAATCAGGCGACGAAAAGACACACACACAAACACGCACAGGAGGATTTCGTTGTTTTGAAAAAGCTTTGAATGTCACATACGACATGTACAGTACTATGGAATGATCATGTTTTTATTTCCTCACGTTCATAATGGATGTAGCCGTCTTCGTCCTCGGCTTCACAGCATTCCGTCAAGACCATGTCGACTTCTGGCTGCTGCAATGGCTCGCCTATATGCATACACACAGAACACTCAAAGGAATGTTTTGTTTTTCTCCTAATACAGTTGAACCTCTTTAAGTCGAATTTCTATAGGGACCGGGAAAAAAATTCGACTTAGGGAGGTTTAGACTTTGGGAGGGTTTGAATTAAGGAAAGAGTAATTCTTGCTGTGAGGATTAGTAGAAGAAAATTGCAGGAAATTGTAAATGAGGAGATTCTGGGCCTAAACTTGATTCTTGATGAGTTTATACTGCTGTGCTGAACTTGGGGTCAGGGGTTCATTAGCTATATATTTCTCTTTCAATTCCTTTCAAGATGCATCAAATTATTTGTTTTAATCATTCTCTCTTTCATATTTCACAGAAATAATAACCAGAAGGCCTCAGAAAATTCAATTTGAAGAGGTTTTAGAAAAAAAAGAATTCGAATTAAAGATGTTTTTTAATGTATTGATTTTAAGGGAATTTGGACAGGGACTTGAAAAAAATTTGACTTATGGAGGAATTTGACTTACAGAGGTTCGAATTAGCGAGGTTCACCTGTAATACATACGAGCATATTCATAAATGTAATCTCACGTTTTTGCTACATAGGTAAATATTTGAACCTTAAACTACTGGCGAAGTTTTTGAATTATTGATGGTGAATATCGAACCGTTCGAGCAGTTATTTTCAGTTGCGGGTATTTCACTGAAATAAAGGTTTTTGGTATAATAATTTGCCGAAACAATCATGGAATAAATTAAATAGCTCAAAGATAGCGACGGAATACGTAAGACTCAATTTTACTGAAACGATGGACTCAATTTTGAGGAAGATGAATTCCAGGATTAATTCACACGATCCTTGAAATTTTAAAGATTTTCGAAGGCACTTTTTTCCTTGGAAAAGGTAAAATCTACATCAAAATATTCGTAAGAAAATGGTAAAAAGTTTTTCACGTTCTGGGAAAATTTTACTGTTGAAGGTTAGCGTAATTAGGTTAGTTAAATTAGCTAAATGAATGGGAAATTGGTGAGAGAAATGCACAAGAAATTTCCTTACATCAATTTTCGGGTTGGAAATATCTGCTTCTTGTAATTTGGCCTGAAATGTGTTTGCAATTTTATCACAAAATGTCCCTATGTTGAGTCGGGCCTTCTGTATTAATTTTTTATGAGAAAATAAATGTCCCTGTGTCGAATTGTCCGCAGGTCGAGGTGTCCGCATGTAGGGGCCTCATTGTAATACTCACCAATAGCCATAAGGATGTGTTTCAGTTCATCGAAAATCATGGTGCCATCGTCACGTTTGTCGTACAATTTGAGCACTTCCAAAAAGTCGTCAATGTTCCCTTCGTCCTTGGAATTCTTCACCTCGGCGAAGATCGGCAAGAATTCCTCCGGTTTGAAGACTTTTTGCTCTGTTTCCAATTTCAAAAATAATAATAATAAATTCGACATGAAAATGACCCGACTTTGTGTTGAATAAGAAAGCTCTTCAACAACAGGCGCATTCAGCAGCAATTCCATTTTTTTTTCATATTGTTTCTATAGTAAAGATTATCGTTTCTTTTTTGAAAAAGTCAGACTTTGATTTTTTTTTTACTGGATAATTTGTGCAAGCGATATGTTTTTGGAAATGTAGAAAATAGTTGGGATAAATTGCCCGCTAATTTTGTTTAAAATTACAGACTTCTTAAATTTGTAAACTCAATAACGCGGATTTAACTGATATATAAATGTTTCAGAAGTCTAGAAAATTGTTGGGATCAGTTGTCCGTAAATTATTTCACAGAAGACAGACTTTTCCAAAGTTGAGCTAAATGAATAATTTGTACAGCAGAAGTAATAAATGTTTGCAAATAATGGCCAATATACCGAAATATAGGTGGGATTAATTCCCCGTAAATTATTTGACAGAAGACAGACTTTTAAAATTTGGGCTTAATGAATAAAGTGAATAGAATCAATAAATTTTTGCGAATTGTAGCCAATTGTCGGAATTAATCGTCCACGGAAACTATTCGAAAAAAGGAAGATTTTTCAATTTTTTCTCGAAGAATAATGCGTTATGTAGAATAGCGAAAAATGTTTGCAAAACTCAGACAATGATCGAAATTCATTGTTTGTGAATTATTTCACAGAATACAGACTTTTCAAAACTTTGTTTTCGCCAAAAAAAAATAAAAATAAGCAGAAGCGATAAATGTTCGCGAAATGTATCCATATACAAAGGGTCAGGATGATGAATTGTTCAAAAAATTATTTCAGTGGAAATCCGCCAAACGATGACGACCGCTTTTACGTGAAGCTCCACCAGTACTTTCGCAAACACATTCAACTGTTCTCTTTGACAAACGTTGCCGTGTTTTTAGATTTAAAATTTAATATGTACTCACTGCGCAATTTAGTGCCACCCATTTTCTCCACCATGGCGACCGTCGGGTTGAGATTCAAGGCCCGCAAACAATCGCCGAGGTAAAAGGCATCCATGGTGTCATTTCCGTCGAAGTCGTAGATGGAAAAGGCAAATTTTCCACCTGGAGATGATGAATTGAAAGATATTTTTTAATTGTCTTCTGATTTATATCACTGATGATTTTTAAATTGAAGATTAAAGTGTTTCGGAACGTGAGGAATAAACGAGGGTTGCCAATATACTTCCGCAAGAAGCCATTTTTATATACGTAACAGTTTTTAAAAAAAAGTTTCAAATGTTCCCCTGCGATGCTCGAAGATTTTTCAATTTTTCTCAGATTTTTAAAAGCAATTTTCAAGACACTTCATAGTGAAGTTTGAAAATGTTCTTGCTATGTTAAGTAGAATATTATGTGTCACGAATGATGAAAATTTAAAAACTTTGGGATGATACGATTTCTGGTGAACTCTGGCCTTAACCAGAAAGTTTTTATTCTTCTCTCAACAGTTTCTTGCAAAAATGTCTTAGAAACCTAAAAAAAAACAGCTATAGTGACATACTGTGGGGAAATTTTCAACAGCATGTGGGAAATTTTCAAAACTTCTCAACTTTCAACGAGGACAGAAATATGTTAATATGCTCTACATTTGCGAAAACTTATGTGTAAAGTGCAAAATATATGAATCAGCGAATAAAAAAATTTTTATACGATGGGAATTTTTGAGCACGAATATCTGCACGAATTTGTAATTATGTTGCAAAAATCAGGAAACCGTAAAACAGATGCGCATACATTATTTCAATTGTGATCAATTTCCAGAAAGCGAATTCCTCGAATTGAATTACTGTACTGAAAATTCTCCCCATACATGAAATGAAAAATTTTGCAATGCAATGGGAAAGTTTTTTTTAATACTCGAGGTTATAAAAGTTGATTATTCAGAATTTTGGCTCTTAAATAATCTGAATACAGTATCATGATGAAGTACGTTCCTTTTTCTGCACCTTTCGCGCGAAACTGAAAACTACAATCGCAGGTCTATATAATATGTTGAAATTTCGAAAATTAAAATTTTCGAAAAATGAGAAAAAATTGCAACTTACGTTCGGCATCCCGAGCAGACAAATCGTGATTTTCGCGCGAAACTGAAAACTACAATCGCAGGTCTATATAATATGTTGAAATTTCGAAAATTAAAATTTTCGAAAAATGAGAAAAAATTGCAACTTACGTTCGGCATCCCGAGCAGACAAATCGTGAGACTGTAGATGAACAACATCCCCGAAAAAAAATAAGAAGAAACGAAAAAGAAACATTAGCGGCTGTGAATAATTAGAACGAACTAATTAGAAGTCAATTTATCACCGCGAACGAATTCCATTTGCCGTAAGTGAGCGGGGGTGTGAACTTTTGCTCAAAACATGTGTTCCGATGCGTAAAACAAGATACAAATCACAGAACTAAACAACGGAGATCTTTAAAAAGTGATTAGAATCGTCGGGAAAATTTGGGTTATTGTTCGTGGTTTTAATTCGCCGAATTTTTACATTTTAAAACCTTCTTCTCTTCGCTGTAAACCGATTAAAATTTCTCAAAGCGATAAAATATGTCCGAAAGTAGCAGAGAAATTTCAGAAAGAATCGTGTGATTTCTCTAGGTTACTTTTTTTTAAAATTTAGGTAGACTCAATTCAGAGAAAAACAATTGACGAGAAAATGTCTCATGCGGACGAAGGAAGCAATTTTTTGTGAAACTTAAATTCTGAGAACTTTTATAGCAAGAATAAACGATGATATTTACATTTCTGTTCATCTTTCCTTGGGTGTGTCTCCTTTTATATTTACATAAACCTTTGCACTTTAGAAAGGATATGTTTCTACAAATTTCCCCTTTTTGTAGAAAAAACCATGATTATTGATGGCTAAAAACAAAATAAATCTTCAATCGCATTCTAGCGCCATTTAATTTTTTCCGAACGACGGAAACGAACGACGACCGAAGTTCTTTTTTTTTATCCAAGAAAGAACTAATTTTGCCATTTCAATAACAAGAGCCTTTGAAGCTTTCAATCTTGAGAAAATGAATTTTTTCAGCTGCAAAACAAACACTATCTTCAAGTTCCTTTGTGGGCAATCAATATTATTTTATAACCCAAGTTCTTAATCTTCTTGTTTTATTCATGTAAACGTGGATTAATTGTTAAAATCTACATAATTGGGATAAAATAAAACTGTTCATGACGATATTTCCATGAGTGTAGAGATTTGTTGGCATGAGAAAAAACATTTTCTCTCGAAATATCAATAAGAATTTTTAAGAAATACAAGGTCTTTTTTCAAGGCATAAAATATCTTTGAAAAAACTTTTTAAACGTGGCTGACGCTCTGAAAAAAAATCCATGGAATTTTTCTCCATTTGAAATATGTTTTGAGTTAAAATTCAACTACTGTACATCAAAATAAAACTATGATTTCTCAATTAAAAGAGTTCTGCTCGAAATGCTCACCACGTCAAGATCACGATAAAAAAAATCTTGAACAAAAAATTTTTTAGAATGATGCGGACGCACTGAAAAAATGTCTATGGAACTCTTTTCAATTTGCCATAAATTAAAATTTTGAAAAGACTACGGATTTATGGATTTTAAAGGTTCTGCTGGAATAAATCCTCACCATTTCGATATCGATATCAAATAACTTTAAAAAAATATTCATAGAACGTGGCTGATGACGCACTGAAAACTGTTAAAGGAACTTCTCTCAATTTGTTTCTATAGTGCCAAATTTAAATTTTAAATAGACTAGAAATTCCTCGATTGAAAGGGATCTACTGGAATAAATGCTCACCATGTCGATATCGTAATCAAATAACTTTAAAAAAAATATTTTTATAGAATGTGGCTGATGACGCACTGAAAAATGTCAAATGAACTTCTTTCATCAAGTTTTCTAAAACCAAAATTAATTTTTAAATAGACTAACGGGATTCCTCGATTGAAAAGGATCTACTGGAATAAATGCTGACCATGTCGAATTCGTAATCAAATAACTTAAAAACAAAAATTTTTTATAGGACGTAGCTGATGAAGCACTGAAAAATGTCAAAGGAACTTCAATCATCAATTTTTCTAGAACCAAAATTAAATAGACTATATAGGGATTCCTCGATTGAAAGGGATCTACTGGAATAAATGCTGACCATGTCGAAATCGTAATCGAATAACTTTTTCAAAAATATTATTATAGAATCTGGCTGATGACGCAATGAATAAAAATGTCAAAGGAACTTCTCTCATCGATTTTTCTAAAACCAAAATTAATTTTTAAATAGACTATATAGGGATTTCTCAATTGAAAGGTATCTGCTGGAATAAATGCTCACCATGTCGATATCGAGCTTCGTGGACGAGAATTTAAAAAAACAAAAACAAAACCCCGAAAGAGAGATGCGTGGAATATACAAAGGAGGAGCCGCAGCAGCAGGGAACAGCCGTATGTGACGATTCACCGCTTGTCCAGCAACTGGTTCAACCCCCGAAAATCCACGGGTATCAGAAACCCACGGATGATCCGAACCGTTTTCTTGGCATGGTTACAAATAATGTCGTGACGTAAGCGATTTACAAAGGAACCCCGTTCGAGTGCCAACTTGTCTCTCCTTTGCTCGCATTGCGAACATTTCCCATTTTTTCCCCTTGCTGCCATATGGAAATACTGTAATGCTTTGGATACTCGCACATGCTGAAAGGTCTTCCTTTCTTTTCCTTTTTTTCTGCTGCTTCTGAGAGGAAGAAATTTCTAGTTAAAAACAAAATACTGTACAAGTTTGTATGCACATATGAGGGGTCTAACAAATTTTCTTGGAATAGAAATTGAAATGGTGTTCATGCAATTGAGCTGACAATTCATTGAAAACACTAATTGGCCCAACCAAAATATGCAGCCCTGTTTCACATACTTTCAGACCCCAAAATGTGGAATGCCGCAACGTGCAGACAATTTGACTGAGGGAAATGTGATACTGTACTTGGAAATGTGATATATACACATATACAGTCAATATCCGTTTGACCACCCCCAATAAGCCGCCACCCTTGGTTGCCGCCAAAATTTCATCCCTAACAAATCTGCCTAAACAAAACCTCTTTAAAGCGCCAACCACCATCCACCACCATTTTTATCCTCCCAAACTGGATTGTCCTGTTTTTTTTTCTCCTCCTATCAACCACCCATTTCTTCCTACTTCCCAGACTTTCTGCTGTTCACCAATTTTTTTTCTCATCCCAACCATCATTTTCTCACATTTCATTTATTGAAATCCCCACATTTCCCTCCCTCCCAGCTTCCTCTTCCATTTATTTTGTTGATAAATTTCTGGGGTACAGTTTTATTGTCAGCCTCTTAAAATGTTGGGCACTTATTCAGTGGAAATATAAAGGAAACAAGTATACCTCATGCAAAAATCTCCTTTCCAAGCAAAAATGTATTCTTGTGCTATCTGCACCTCAATATTTTAACATTTCTCATATTTCTATTTTGGGGAATCTTAAATACATTTCCAAATTATTTGCACAGAATGATAGAATGCAGCAGGGGTAGACCCTTTTTTAACTGGTTCATCCTTCCCTCTATAAACCGCCAACCCCATTAAACCGCCAAAATTCTGCCGAACAAACATTGGCAGTTTAACTGGGTTTGACTGTATATACAATACAGGTAGTTAGAATACCTAGCAATTTGACCTCCTGCAGTTTGATGTTCCCACAATTCAATGATCAAATTTTCAGGGAGGTTGACTTGCAATTTGACAATTGCCCCACAATTCAACCTGCCTTGGCCACTCTTTTTGCAATTTTGTGCTGATATTTTTGAATTTCAGGAAGTGTCTCA